GACCAGTGGATATAAGTCAATGTCAAAGTTCTTTCCTTGTTAGAGAAAAGAAATAATTAAAATCAGAAATAAAAACAAGACAGGAGAAAAACAGAAAAAGCAAAAATAATTTTTAAATAACAACTAAGCAAATAGAAATAAGCTCAAATACATCAGTAATGACAATAAACAGAAATGGCCTAAGTCCCTAGAAACTGGGAGGTACTGGGTAGATATAAGCTTTATTTGAATACCATTCTGTAAGAAATAGGGGATGCTTACCTTGTTTGCCCACAATGGGTATAAAATCTTCACTGAAATTGTCTGGACCATAAATCCACTTTTGGATCTGTCATTTAACTTTGAAAGAAGGCAACAGTAGGATCTCTATTGAATGAAAATACATTTCATTTTCTTCAACAACCATATAAAGCAAACTAAATTGCATTCAGTGAATTCTGAGTTTTCTCTCACTAAGAACTGATAAAAGCATTGATAGGTGTGACAATGACAATTATCTACTCTTTTCTGTTCAAGGTCAGGTTATCTATTCTTTCACCATCCATTTTCTTCTGAATTTCTCCTTTGTAATCCATACCATTCCAACACTATGCCAGATCATTTAATACTAATTGTTCACAGTTCAGGTTTTAAATGACAGCAATCCTATTCACTGAATGCTAAGTATTATTTCCTGTAGTAATATTGGCATAATGCTTGATACAATTACAGTATAGGAATTCATCCTGTCTTTTATTTGAATAGCCCCACATTTTCTGTCTGCCTTGGACTACTCTTTCAGCTGTCTGCAATTTATTCTTGGGTTTCTGTCCTTTGGTCTAATGATAACTTCTAGATTGTATTAAGCGTAAAGTCTTTCCCCCCATGGACAGATTCCTGGAAATCCTATCAGATCCTCTAGCTACAGTAGCCCAATGTTTAACTGTTTACTCCATTCCTACTATAATGTATATTTCATGTCAACACTAAATTAATGCTGAGGAATCAAAGATAAACAAACAAAAATGATTAAGAGGACATCTTTTAAAGGTGATAAAAGAGCTCCTTGGTACAAGATCAATGATATGAAATATACAAATACATTTTTACCACACTCTGAATGACCTTACATGAGAAAAAACAGCTAATTATTCAACCAAAAAATGTTTTGAATGTGAGTTGTACTGGATTTCTTTTTTAAAGATTTTATTTATTCATTTGAGACACAGAGAAACAGAGAGAGAGCATGAGCAGGGGGAGAGGGAGAAGCAGGCTCCCCAATGAGCCAGGAGCCTGACATGGGGATCGATCCCAGGACCCTGGGATCATGACCTGAGCCGAAGGCAGACGCTTAACCATCTGAGCCACCCAGGCGCCCCATGGATTTTTGAATATAAGTTTTACTAGGTAAGAACTTGTTCTGAGTTTATGATGTAAGTATACAACTGGAAACACTGAACATTGTCATAGCAATCATCTTAAGTTTCTCTCATTTAAATTTCTGCTTGAGAATTCTACTTTTAAATGTGAAAACCCAATTCATATGCTCAGGGGATAAGTATTCCAACACCTGGCTCGATCTCAGAACCCCGAGATCATGACAGAACCAAAGTCAGACACGCTTAACCAACTGAGCCCCCCAGGCGCACCCCCACCTTTTTAAAAGATTTTACTTATTTACAGCCGCTCCTTTTTCCTGCTGTAATCTAGTCCCAAAGGGAAGTCAGCGGCTACAGAGCATGCCCCTGTCTCTTGGGAACATAACCTTGACTCACCCCTGTTCCTACGGTCACACCTTCCTTCTCGATCTCCCAAGACTGTCTTTGTGAAAGGAAACCCCTGCCTTTTCTCCCTTTGGAAATTTCACTGCCCTTTGCTTTTTCTCATTTTAGCCATTTTTTTTCCACTTACTCCAATTTCCATTAATCCTTGCACCAATTCTTCCCCACTCCCAGTACTGGCTGTTATTGCTTATGAATTCTGCTGGGACCCCTCAGAAAATCTGAATAAATCCCCTGACCTGTCTTCCTCACTTCTCCTTTCCCTCTGGGCCTCAACTAAAACTCTTGCTACAGGGATTGTTGTTTGGTGTCTCTGGGGCTCAGTTTGCTCCCTGTACAATAAAGGAATTAACCAGGTTATCTGCAAAGATCCTCAGTTGTAACTTTTGAACACACTGACTTGGTGTTTTTCCTATGTGGCAAGTTCTTCCTTCCATCTAACTCGTCTTCAGAGCCTGCCTTTCATTACTCTCATTACCAAGGTCCCAAGGACATTTTCTCATTTCTTTTTTTTTTTTAAGATTTTATTTATTCATTTGAGACAGAGAGACAGAGAGAGCACAAGCAGAGGGAGAGGCAGAGGGAGAGGGAGAAGCAGACTCTCCACTGAGCCGGGAGCCCGACACGGGGCTCAATCCCCGGACCCTGATATCAGGACCCGAGTCAAAGGCAGACGCTTAACCATCTGAGCCACCCAGGTGCCCCTCATCATTATTTCTTAGGCAAAGCCAAATGGCTTTCACCCACACCTTAAGTTGATCAAAAGAATGTGTTTATTTTTCTAGATATTTCCTAACGTTGCACACAAAATATTTGAGGGACCATGATTCAAGTTTAAAGAAACAAACTTATTTGAACATTTCTTATCCATGAGTGAGATTTCATGATTTTCTTTAAGAAATCTATGACCGGAAAGTTTTGTTAAGGCCAGTGACAAGCAGCTAATGGCATCATTTCTGCTTTGATTTTCTGTGACCCACTTTTGAGGTTTTCATCCTCACTTCTTTGCAGGGGCCCTCACCTTTGACTTCCTTTTGCCCTGTAACTGCCAATTTTCATCAGCGATTAAGAAAATAAGAGCACAAGGAAAAACAATTTAGCGCAGCTGACTGTTTTTTCAAGGAAACTTTTTAGATTTCAGACTAATAAAAAAAGTTTTAATCCTATAATCAGAGGTCATTTTTAATGCTTTTATTCAGCAAAATTCCAGGTAATTTTGAAATACATTGGCCATCCATTTATCGAGGACAAGAGAGGTTATTCCAAAACATTCTTTAATAGCCCTAAACTGATTTTTCCTATCAGAAGAAAAAGGAAAATCCACCCAGAAAGGTCTTTCTATAGTGGAGGTTACATAGCTGAGCTTCTTAGGCATTAAACTAATTCACACACACACACACACACACACACACACACACACATATAATTGGTTAGAAATATTCCATTTCAGGATTAAGTTTTACACAACACATTATGACCATAAATGGGTTACTTGGGTATAATAGTTATCTCTACTTATTTTTAGCAAGGGAGCTAGATTTCATAATATTCAATCCTGGCTTACAAATTTAACTTGGTAAACTTGCAGGAGAAATGTGAGCTGTTGAGCATTCTCTGCCAAATCAAAAGCCACCCCCCCGAGCCCCACAGTGCAGACATGTCTGCCTCCTCCAAACTCCAGTGGAACTTAACTCGTGTCATCCTTATCCCCCATACTTCCTAATTCAGAGTCTCTCGTATCTATCAATAAATAATTACGAAGAAAAAAAGGAGCAGAAAAATAAGCAGGCATTGCAGTTTAATCGAAAAAGCATGGGTGTTGAATTAGACAAACCTAGCTTTGTATCTCATTTCATCTATTTCTTCACCATGTGATCCTGGGCAGTTGACTGAACTATCTGAGCCTTCGTTTTCTCAGCTATATATCAGAGGTAATGAACTGCCCTCGTAGGGTACTGTGAAGGTTCAGTTAAAATGGAAAAGCACCTGGCACATACAAGGCACTTCTCCAATAAAAGGTACTTCTCCTTCCCCTATTCTGGCATATCATTCATAGATCAATCCTGTGGCATGGCTGATTGAACACCGAGCTGTTTCTGGGCTGTGAGCTTTTTGAAGGCAGAGTCTTGTTCATCTTTGTATTTCCTATGGAACCTAGGGTAGTGAGCTACATATTCTGGAGGCGCAATAACTGTGTACTGTTTTAAACTGAGGGCTGAAACAGGACCAGTCCTAAACTGTGGGGCTCTTCTGGTACGGTGAGCTATGGCTCAGGCCTCTTGGGGGTGAGACAGCCCACCATGTTTTAAATTAGGTTGCACAAAATAGAGCTACTTTCCTAAATTCCTTGGCAACTAATCAGAAGGCTGTTCCATTTCTCACTGTAGAAACTGTTGCAAAAAAATTGACCTTACTCTGAGAGAGAGAAACAGAATCCACTACACTGTGCTAGAAAATCAACAAGTTGTGTTGAAAGCACTGAGTCACATAAGCGTGGGTTTTAAACACCAGCTGGTTCCTGACTAGCCATGAGACCTTGGGAAAGCTGTCTACACTCGTTGAGCCTCAATTAAACCAAAGGAAGAGACAATAATTCCACTGTGGTTGTCACACCGGGTTGTGGGTACAGAAGGTCATGCCCTGGAACCGACTGGCACACTGGGGAAGCAGGATGCCAACACCAAGTCTAGAAAGCCATCACTTCTCAGTCATGGGAGCTCCTCCTCTGGCATGGTCCACGCTTCTACCCATATTCCCTTCTTTGGCAACTGGCCAGCTCTCATTGTATCATTTCAGTTCAATTGAGCAGAAAAGCTGTGCATGTGTGCGTGCATGCATCAACACGCGAGTGGTCACATCTACGGATCCCCCAACTTTTGTTCCGCAGGTCACATTACAATGCCACGAGAAGGTGTGGTCGTTAAGCCACGATAAAACAAATGCACGCTTTCCTTTTCCGTCCGATGCTAGAACACTGCACAGTCCAATTTGCTTGTGGCTTTTTCTCACGTGTCTGTCAGTCACAGCTTCCTCTGTAAAAATACTTCAAAGAAAATACAGATCGACCAAAGCATTAACAGAAAGTCAGCCCCAGACGAAAGGGGGCAGGCTGCAGGCAAAGCCAAGTGACCGGTCTTTTCAGTTCTGGTGGAATCTTTGTTTCTAGGTCATTCTACTAACATCACCTAAGGAAACTGGGTTCCTAAGGAAATTGGGAGGTTGGGGAGGCAGATGGGCCACCTACACACCACATATGGAAGAACGAACCTTCCCAAATTTCTGAAAAAAGTCTTCTTCTGCCCGGGCCAGGGCGTCTTCATCAATGTACACAGCTGGCCTTCTGGCCATGAGGAAGTACTGCACCTTCCTCAGATTCCAGCCCATCACGTACTGGAGCCAGCCGCAGACGGCCGCGGTGGACCTGCCGACCCCGGCGTTGCAGTGAACGTACACGGTGTGTCCATTCTCGAGCAGCGCATGCAGGAGACAGACCGCCTGGGGCAGCATCTGCACTCGGCCTGGGATTGAGAAAGCACAGACACATGAATAGTGAAAGCCCAATATCGCACTCAGGACAACTCCTCAGTGCCCGGTGAGGTCAGCGCAGCAGGGGGAGCAGGGATAGGAGAGCTTGCTCCATTCCTTTGTTTTGACGGAAAAGGTGAGACAATAATAAAGTAGAAAGAACACTCCAGAGGCAGTGGGTCGGCTCTGAACCTTCCCTGGCTTTTGCTTTGAGGGACTTCTGCATCAGGGCACACTTCCTTTCAAAGAAAAGTTAACCGTTGCCTATGGTCAGAAGAATGGATTTTTACATCCATCAGAAAGGCTTGCTCAGATTGGGCAGATATTTACAGGATTTCACCCTGACTTTCTTTAATCCAAACAGATCTTCAAGATCAATGCAAAACACAGAATTAGTCCATATTGGTTAAAGGAGTCAATCTTATTCACTCAACATATGCCAATTTTCATTTGGCCAATGGGATGGTGAACATTAATTGACACACATGTGATCATTCATTTATTCCTTCATGATACAGTGAGTGTGGAAATGATTCCATTTCTCCTTTACTGGTCAATTGTGATTATGGTTATTATTACCTCATGACTACTATTTTGATTATTAGGTGATCAAATGTCTCACTTATACCCTGATAGGATATGTAATGCTCTGCTCAGCCCTGCCAGACTCCTGTCTCATGAGGCAGAGATCCTCCTAAAGCCATCAAATGCCAAGATGCCTGGAATTTCTTCTGCACACAGGTTCTCAGAGCAAAGACAGTTAGTGGATTTGGTGGGGGGTGGGGACGATGGTCAAATTACTTCAAAGGGGATGAAAGAGGGAAACTATAGAGAGTCCTGGATTATGCACCCGTGACTTGACATTCACTAGCTACTCTGTGTTCTCGACCACACAGGGGCACAATGGCACTTCACATTGCCATCCCACTGGATGACAGGAGAGGTGGGGAAAACTCCCCCCTCAAATGATTTTACTGCAGATCCTGAGGCCTAGAATTCCATGGTGGAATGGAGCCAGGAGGTCATGAGAGCCACTCACGGAAGTTGAGACTTCCCTCTTTAGATATCCTCTTCTAAAATGCCAAGTGCCTCTTAAGGGCTAACACAACACACGGCAATCAGGTGTCAGCACCTTAGAAGGACAGACGTTACAAGACCCCATCGTGGTTTGAAGGCCCTCTCAGTTACCACTCCATCCGGGGTGGGTCTACCTTAGCTTCAGGCTCACCCTGCTCTGACTTAGAAGCAGAAAATCTACATGGGAAGCCAAGATAAGATTCTAATTTTGCTGCCAGTGCTCCATCCGTCCATCTTACCAAGCATCTCAAGCTACAGGTCCCACACGGCAGTGTAGAGACATTTTTAATTGGAATGCCTTTAGTCAGGACACACTTGGCAATTCCTCAGGCTCCATCTCTCCCTGCTGCCTATCGCCCTGCGTTCATGTTCCCTGCCTGATCTCTGAGGGCAGCTAAGGGGAGCCCCACTAGCTCCCCTGTGCCGCTTGATTTCTCAGAGTCTAAACTCAGCCATAAACTACCATCGATTTGCTCTTCCTCACTAGGTTTCAGGTTACTCTGAGGGCAGGGCTAGATGGGCATGCCACACAGTCAGTTGCTCATGGCACTCCCTCAGCGGCAGTAAAAGATCACCAGAAATGGAACGAAGTGTAGAAGGTCCTATGTACTAGAGAGATGTCTCACCGTCTGTCCCAGGGAGAGTCCCGTGTAGTTGATGCACCATTTGAGCTGGGAGATCAGAGGAGGCAAAACTCTCAAAGTATGTTGGCAATCCTGCCAATACGGGTGAGGCCTGCCCATGTGCAAGGCTGTTGTTCTGCTGAAGGGGTGTTAGAGGTGTAGCCCCACTAACACCGGCTGGGAAGGGAACGACCACCGATCCACCTGGGCAGCCAGGTTATTCCTTGCCATGGCTGGCATAACTGGCCAAGTTCACTGTGACAGATGCCTCTCCTCCTACCGTGTACATTTCCAGGACATGAGTAGGAAAAAACATTTTTTATTGAAATATAGTGGACATACAATGATAGTGTCAGGCGTACGACACAGTGATCTGACAATTCTATACTGTATGCTCCGCTCAGCCCAGTAAGGGTAGTTACCATCTGTCACCATACAACGTTAGTACAAGGTTACGGACTCTACTCCCTGTGCTTGTATTTTTATCTCCGAGAAGTATTTTTAACATGGGGTTTCACTAAATGCCCAGTGTACAAACAGACCACAGTGGGCCATGTGCAGTAGGAGCTTCTGGAAGCAGAGTCCCAGCCCCCGGGGCTCTGCTTCTGCAGCCTCAGTGTCACCGACCTGTGCAAACCGGGGTTCACATGGACCCCTCAGGATCCCTTCCCCCCTACTTGCTCTCTGGCCAGAGATTCCCTGAGGAAGGGTCTGCATCAAATGGCCCAAATGATGCACTATCTCTCCCTTTCCTTTTTATCTGTAAAAGATTCTTCAAGAGGCATGCACACAGTTTAGAAGTTGAAAAGTTTGAAAAGGGGTGTGAGCTTGGAATTCTGTGACCTCAGCCATGCGATCCTGGAAGGTAAGTGACAGCTGCCTCTGGGAAGCTCCAGAAGGCTCCCAGTTTAAACACAGGTTTCACCCCGCAGTGGTCTTCTCCTAGAATCACTTGGCCACCCCCTTAAGAACTGTCAACAAATACTTCAATAACATAAAAAGGACGCCGAACAAGGACAGGGTCCAGGATCAGCCTGACCGCCACTGGAGCCCTTGCTTATTTTGATTTCTAGGGACTACAAATTACTTTGCTTTGATTGGTGACAGCTCACATTTACTGAGTCCTTTCTACCTGCCAAGTGCTGTTCTAAGCACCGTGCAGGTAATAGTTCATTTGCAATCACCTTTTAACAACTATGAAGTTGGTACTGTTTTTATCCTCAGTTTATATCTGAGGGAACTGAGGCAAGGAGATCTGCCCAAGGTTATTCCCCTGGGGCCACTGAAACCCAGCCGGCCCAACTCCAAAGCCTCTGGCCTTAACCACTACACTAATGCCCTTCCCTAACCTGCCTGGCCAGGGGCACCTGCTGGCCGCCATGCTCTCAATATGAGTTCTTAGTCAGTCTCCACCCCCCACCTACCCTGTCACATTGTTGCTCTCAGCCCAGGTGAGAGCAACATCTTCCCTGGGGGTTAGCCCCTCTGCCCTGCCCTAGAGGGGCTCTCTGTGCCCAGTGGGCCACATGCCTCTGCTAGAAAACCCATTCTAGAGAGCCTGAGCTAATACACAACCCACCAAGGAATAAAAAGAGGGTACCCAGAATCAGAGCTTGCACAGTGTCAACAAGAGCCCCTAATTTTTTATGTTTCATTTATTTAGGCTCCATTTAGAATTTAATTAGATAAAAAGTTTCCATTCATAAAAATGATAATACCTAAAAGCAAGACCGAAATCCAGAATTTCTATATAAAATATTCCAAATTTTAACTGTTGACAGCTAAAGCTGAAAATTTTCAAACCTGTGCAGGTCTAACAAAACATTTCATGGGGGCAGAGCAAGATGGCGGAGGAGTAGGAGACCTGGATTTCATCTGGTCTCAGGAATTCAGCTGAATAGGGATCAAATCATTCTGAACACCTACGAACTCAACAGGAGATCGAAGAAAAGAATAGCAACAACACTCTGAACAGAAAAGCAACCACTTTCTGGAAGGTAGGACGTGTGGAGAAGTGAATCCAAGGCGATATTCGGGAGGATAGACGGCGGGGGAGGG